AGCATCCCAATTGCTTCATAATTGAAACTCATGTATGCAATGGTGCAATCAGATTTGATGTCCAACTGAAAACTCAATCCTGTTCTTACCCCCATATTAGGTGTAGCCATGGAAAAGGGAGAAAGCTGTCTTATCCAGATTACTGGACATGAAAACAAATTGGTTTATTTACTCACTGATTTTATATTTAAACCATCTAGAACCCAACTGATGCTTAAGCACACAAAGAAGAACTCCTATCCATTAATAGGTTCTACTTATAATAGTTGTAATTTGCAGAACGAGAAGAAAACAAAATACAAAGTATGGCAACAACAGAAAAAAGTAGGTTGAACTATTTCCTACCCCAAGTGTAAATGAGGACTGAGTTAAATGCTTGGTCAAGTATGTTCCAGCTTTAAAATTATGTATGTTTATCCACACTGTCTCCTCCTTTCCTCCAAATAAAATAATTCATCTAGATGAACAGCTTTTCATGTAGGTTAAAATTATAATTGTATTCCATTTCATTTTTACCATCATTTCTAATAGCGAATAAAACATCAACATACAAAATGACTTTTAAAAGCAGCTATTCCCTTTGAAACAGCAAAAGAAACTCATTTCTCAAAGTCTTCCAAAAGAGAAACCAGATGGGTCCTTCACTTCGTAGTTGACAGGTAAACCTCAATGTTCTTCCCCATCTGAGCCATGCCATTTCATTAATCTGTCCAAGTAGCCTTAAGTTTACAGGTGACATTTTATATATCACCACCACTGAATATTAACAGACACTATATAAAACTAGAGTAGCATCAAAATTGCTTTAATGTTCCAATTCCTAAATACACAAATGCAATGGTGCAATTGGACTTTATGTCAAACTGAATACATAATCTTGTTTCTGTTTAAACCTGATGGTGAATAAAATGGGATGGTCTCCTAAAAGTTCACCAAATTCCTAATGCACACTATGATCCAAATCGCAAAAAAACTTTTTCAAAAGGTAGGACTAGAAACAACAAAAATCTAATCATTACTTCAACTATAAGCTATGGCAGCACAAAGTGCCATTAGATTGGTAAAGATTAGAGAATTTAGATCTTGAATTTACACCTTTAAGAGTATAACATGACTTGATTATACAGGAATTAGCAGGAATTAGTTTATGTTTTACCCGTTATTCTTCAACAGTGCTATCCCATAGAACTGTCTGATGATATAAATGTTCTGTATCTGTGCTGTCCAATACCACAGTCAATAACCACATGTGGCTACCAAGCACTTGAAATGTGGTTACCAAGACTAAGAGTAATGAACTTTTTACTTTATTTAATTGTAACTAACTAAAATTTAAGTTGCCACATGTAGGCTAGTGGCTATCATACTGGACAATGTGGTTCTGTCAAGTGAAATACAATGTATAAACTTCCCTGAAAAGGAAGAGTTTTTCAAAGTATCATTCCTGAGAATGCTAACACAAGCTAAAATCTTCCTGATACCCAATGATACACAAGTTAAGCCAACGGTCTAAAGAGAAAATAAAATTCATTTATGAAATGAGAACTCATGGTACCAAGATTCAGAATTTAAGGCACAATATTCACTGAAACAATATTTAAAAAGACATCTCAAGTTTTTCCTCATTGTTTCTGCAAAAGGGGTACTCACTTTAAGAACAGTTCCCCAATATATGTAAGTTACTTTCCCTTCAAATCTGCCCAGTACCTTCTGTTCAAAAAGACAAATGGCAAATATAAATTCTCAGCACTATTGCGTCTACTGCCTCTCGGTAAATTTCATACGTTAATTTCCCTTTCCTTGAAGAGACACAAATGCTTGGAAGCCTCTGCACCGCCTGAAAGCCTTCTTACCCATCTTTCCACATTTTCAGGTATACAAATCGTCATGAAATCGTTGCCATTTCGTTCCTAGACACTTTTTTTTTTTTTTTCAGTCCAAAAGAGTCACTACTCTTTTAGGCACTTCAGGTATTCTTTGACCAGGTCTTCGTAAGTCAAGAAAAGTAACCAAAATGGTGCACAAAATGTCAAAAGAAAACAATTCTAGGGACTTGCAGGTTGAATTAACTAGTCCCAAAGCAGAATCAACCGACTTTAACCCGGAGAGAGCGTGCCTCAAACTACACGGCGAAGCAAACAGGCGAGCAAGGTCGTGACCTAAGGTCACGGCAGCCAGCACTGCTCCCGCCCGGCAGCGGAAAGCCACCTGTTAGGCCCGAGCCTCACCTGGCAGGAGAGAGGAGGCGCACACCCGGCAGTGCGACGGACGCAGACGCCTAGGCGGCCAGCGCGGGACCCGCCCCTCACGCGGCGGCAACCGGAGACGGCGGCGAGCCCCCCAGCCGCACGTGGGCTTCACCCAGCCGGTGCTTCGCTGACAGGCGGGTCGCCCGCGCTCCCCGGCCCGGCCTCCGCGCTGATCCCCCGGGCGGCACCCCGCCTCCCTCGCACCCACCCCGCCAAGCGGGCGCCCGGGCGGCCCACACAGCTGGCCCGCCGCCCTCCCTTCCTTCCTCTCCGGTCGGCGCGATCCCGCCCTGCCGCCCCTCACCTACCTGGTCACGGAGTTTGAGGAACGCCATGGCGGTCGCCTCCGCCGCCGCCCCGGCCCACCGCTTCCGCCCCCGTAGCTTCGGTCTCTGCCCGGGGCCAGCGGGTCCGCGGCCGGCTGTGCTGAGTCCGCGGGCAGGGGGCGGTGCCGCCTCCCGGGCCGCCCGCTGCCGCTACCGAGAGGTGAGGAGCCCGGTCGGTCCCGCCTCCTCCTGAGTACTCCCCCGCCCTCTTCTTTCCTTTCTTTCTCTTTCTCTCAGCTGCCTCCACACGCTGCCGCAGCCACAGCCGCCCGCCGCCGCCGCCTCCTCCTCCTCACGCCCCCTTCCCGAAATACCCTGGCAGCCCCCGCGGCCGCGCCGCTCCAGCCCGCGGCAGCGGCGGCATCCAAACTCCACTCCACAATATTACCACCACCGCCCGCCGCGATTGGCGGCCGCGCGGGGGAGAGGCCAGAGTAAGCCGAGCGCCCATTGGCCACGCCACCGCGCTCGTTCGTGCCCCCCCCACCTCCTGGAGAGGGAGGGGGCGGAGAGAAGGAAGCTGCGAGGGGTGGGCTGCGAGCTACTGCGCGCTGGGCGGGGGAGGCGGGAGGGGAGCGGCGCCAGGCCGGGGGAGGGGTGGCCAGGTACTCCTGGGCGCGCGCCCCGGGCGCGGTGGGCGGAGCCCGGGCTAGAGGTGGAGGGGGGGGGGCGTCTGGAAGTGGGGTAACGGCCCTGGGCTCGCACGTGGAGGTGGAGTGCGGACGCTCCCCAAAGCTAGAGGACGCTGAAGGAACTGGGTGAGGGGCCGGAAGGGGCGTGAAAGGTGGGCACCTGGGGGCCGCTGCCTTCCTGCGAGGGGAGAGAGGCGAACCGGACGCACACGTGGAGGGAGAGTGAGAATGCGCCCCTGAGCTTGAGGAGGATGAAGGAGCCACGGGAATGGGGAGAGGGGCATTCACCAGGAGACTGCTGCCCTGTCGGGGACTGTGGGCAAGGCCAGAAAGAGGGGGCTGCAGGGGAGCGTGAACTCCCCGGGTCTCGCGCATCGAAGGACGAGGAGTGCCCTTCCCCAGCACACGCCCCTCCGGACTCGGTTGGACTGGGCACGGCAGGGTGTGAGAGGTGACGCTGAGAGGCCGCCGCCCTCCCGGGGGCAGCACCCGAACCGGAGGGGTGGGGACGGGGAGGGGAGCGATGCTGCATTCGAGGCGGAACAGCGGCATCTTTGCAGCCAAACAGGTTGTGGACGCTGGCTGGAGTCGTTCTCTGCCCGTAGTCCCAATCCGAAGCGAAGCTGTGGTTCTCCAAAATCCTCCTGCCGGGCTCGCATTTTTTGTTTTTCCTTTCTTTCGCATCTGAAGGGTTTTGCCTCCCACTCGAGAGAAATCAATTAAAAAAATAATAAAAGGTGTGCTGGATTTCCAATAAATAGCATCCTTGGATGGCGAAGAAGAGAAATGATTCCCTCACCCTGCCACACACACCCCCACGCCACCCCACAGTTCTGAAACGGCTTTTCTTTCTAAGGCAGCAGCACACTGTTGCCATTCCAGGCTTGTGTGGGAGAAGGCTGTTGTGCGCCTGTGTCTGTCCGCCTGGGCGGCTCCAGCCCCTGGTTAATAAAAGGTACAGATGGTTAGAGCACAAATGTGTGACGTCAGGCTCGGTTTAAAAAAGTCCCCTTTTCCGACATCAATTGTGTCTCTTGGGACAGACTGTATTTAGAAGATCGATTTGAGTCTAGTGGCAGTCAGAAGAAAAGGGGACCTATGCCAGGACTGTCAGCTTATAATAATGCTGTGCTTAAAACAAAAAGCTGATCTTTTAGCCCCATAAAAAAATGAAGATATCAGAGTGCAGAGTGAAAAACACTGCTAATAGTATGATCCTTCCAATATTCTTTGACATATCAATGCCTTGATTCCATAGAAACAATTTCCTATCTAAAATTAACAATCCTCATAATAAATTATATTTTCTACTTGAAGTGGAAAGATTCTCATAACAGGTAACAGTCATGCTGAGGCTAAAAAGGAAGCTAAACTACTCTTTCTTTGTATTATTTTCAATATCTCACTCCCCTATACTTCAGCAACTTCAGCCGATATTATATGTCATCCAGCCTCTCCTGGTCAGTTTAGTGAGGGTGAATGAGTTAAGTTGTGAGAGCGTTTGAATTCTCCCAATCACAAGAGTACTCTGTGATTACAAGTCACCTTTGTAAATAATTACCCACAGGTTATATCCAACACAGTTCTATCTTAGTCAAGAGGTGCATGAAGGTTCATGTACTGTGGATGTCTCGCCTGGAATTAATACGTCCCCTTCTCCTCAACTTCACCCCCAATGATATCTTCTCCAGGTTAAAGTTCTAGAATTTAAAAGCACAACAGGAACTTGATTCAGAACAAAGCAAAGATTAACTTTTGGGAGAACACAAGTGCATTTGAGAGTATGAATTTAAGTTGTGGACAGAGAGCATTTAAAAGGTTTTACAGTCGAACTAATGAAACTTTTCAGGACTTGTCTGAAAATCCTAATTAAGAATAATTAATGAAAATATTTTATAATGTACCATCTTTGACAATCTTGCAAATGGTAAGCTCTGAGCTCCCCTGATAGAGAATGCCTGATATCTAGCTCAGTTCCCACCCTTCTTCATCCTGAACAACATGTAACTTGAGTCTTAATTTCATGATTTGTAAAAATTAATCTTAACATTACCTGGACTATTCATCTCACACAATTAAATAAGATAATGCTATGAAAGACTGTGGGAACTCTGCAGGACCTTTCAAATATAATGTGATTACAACTATATTCCCATAGCTGAAGAGAGGATAACAATCATTCTGGAAAGTGGGAATAAAAAAAATTGATATAATTGAGCAATAAAACAAAGATTCATGTTCAAATTCTGATAAACCTTTTCACAATCTTTATGATAAGGTTATTCCTCCCTATTATAAAACACTCATATATTAAAGGAATCTGTGGTATTAAAATTCCCATATCATCAAAGCTAATGAAGCCAGGAACTTGAATGGTCAATAATCTCTCCCACCCATTTCCCCAACCCACATACACACTTTTTCATTCTCTTTTACCACAGCCAGCAGCTCTACGCACATTTTAAGTGCTCAGCAGTCAAAAAGGAAACCTCAAATTTTAAGTCTCAAGGAATGACTAATCAGTTGGTCTAGAATCATGTGACCAGGCCTCAGTCAATCATTACCACCAAAGAAGCAAGGTCTTATAACTGAAAACAGCTTCCATTCAGAATTCATCTCTAAAATGGTAGAAGGAAAGATGTCCTACAGATGTGACCACCAGGGAAAATTGCTTTGAGCTAAGCAGCCACTGTAAATTTTATTTAGTGTGCTGCTATGTCTGGGGAACTTGTCAGCGCCTTAAATGCTTCACTTCATTAAGGTATTTCAATAATCTCAGTTATCTCTTTGTGTTGGGAGACTGGGGTCAAGAGATGTGGTGTGCCCATAGTTACCTAACTAATGTTAGGGTATGGATGCGTGAGAGCTTTGAAAGCCAGAAGAGTAGTTAATGTGATAGGAAATTTTGATAATTCTTACATTATATAAATAATTTTTATGAAGAGACTGGGATACATGTAAACTGCATATAAAAAGCTGCCAGAGCAGCCAAGATAAGTTCAGAGACCTGGAGGATAGAAATAGAAGACCCAATATACATCTAAAAGAGTTTCTGGAGGAGAGAAAATAGAATATGAAGGAGAGGCAATATCCAAAGAGATGATGTGTGAGAATTTTTCAGACCTGAAGAAAACCATGGGTTATCAAATCAAATCGAGCAGAATAAATTTTTGAAACTGTGACTTTTATGTAGTAGTGAAATTACAGAATACCAAATGCAATAGGAAAATATTAAAAGTTACCACTGAGAAAAGTCAAATTATCCTTAAAGGAATGACAGTCATTTTGGTAGGAAATAAGTCATCTTGAAGGAATGACCCATCAGCAGATGTAGAAGCAGTAATAGGTGACAGAAGATAATGGAAAATATCTTCAAAGTACTGAGAGTCCATAGTTGAAAAAACTAGAATTCTATACCTAGCTAAACTATCTTTCAAAAGGAAGAACAAGATAAACATATTTTCAAATTTAGTACTCACAGATGCTCATTGAAGGGCATACTAAAGAATTTGCTCCAAATAAAAAAAAAAAGCTGAACCCAAAAGGAATAGGAAGGAAGAAGGGAGGATAAACAAATAAATTAGCAAATATCTTGGCTAATCTAAATCAGTGATATTTTTTATGTGCCACTATTTTGGAATTTTAAAACCAGGTGAAATTAAAATATTAGCCCTTAAAAGTGTCGTATATGATAGCAAAAGGGAGTTCTGAATTAAATTTTTTTAATGTTCATTTATTTTTCGGAAACAGCAACAGAGAATGAGTAGGGGAAGGGCAGAGAGAGAGGGAGACACAGAAACTGAAGCAGGCTCCAGGCTCTGAGCTGTCAGCACAGAGCCCGACACGGGGTTCGAATCCATGAACCGTGAGATCATGACCCGAGCCAAAGTGTGACGCTCAACTGACTGATCCACCCAGGCGCCCCAAGGGAGTTCTGAATTAAAGACTTAATTTCTTTTACTCAGAAATGAAATATGCCTTAACTTAGACTTTGAAAAGTAATTATATTGGTTAAAATTCTTTGTTGCAAACAACAGTCTTCAAACTTCAAGCAAGAATTTCTTAAATTGACATTTACCACCTCCGGGGTCATTGGGTAAGCCTCCTTCCCACCCCCCACCCCCGAAAAAACAAAAATCTTGGGTTAAGGTTCTAGAAAAATTGCCGAACTGCAACAGAACTGGCATGATAAAGAAACTGCTGCTATTCCCATCGAACGCCAAATGCCACGAGCTCAACTTTCCTTCACCTGTTCCTGCTATCAACACCAATACCAATTCTGTGTGATAAGGACCTTGCAATGACTGCCACCTTTATAAGTTTGATGCTTTCATCTTTACCTGCACCAGGAAAATGGAATCTGTGTGCAGGGCTTGTATCCTCACAGTCCTCGCATTTCCACAGGTGCTTCTGGCTAGCATAGCCTATGTTATAGGCCTACATCCTGGTTGCAAGGGAAGCAGAAAATCAGAGTTCTGAATTTTATATTGGGAAGGTGAGATTTATAACCAGGGAATTATCCTAAATA